AAACCCTAAACCCTAAACCAGTCATCTTAGGTCAAAGGCCTCCTGGACACCGAAGAGGATCCCGATGTGATCCATGCTGCGAAGCCCCTTGGGGGGTGAGGGGTGTGCGGCTTGGGGTTAAGGGCTCAGGGTTTAGGGTTCAGAGTTTAGGGTTTGGGGTTTTGAGTTGGGGTTTTGGGGGTTACGGTCCAGGGTTTAGGGTTTGGGGTTCAGAGTTTAGGGTTTGGGGTTCAGAGTTTGGGTTTAGGGTTTAGGGTCCAGGGTTTAGGGTTTAGCATTTCGGGTTTGGGGTTTAGGAAGCTTTAGGGTATTGCAGGGTCCAGGGTTGCGGGTTTAGGGCTTCCGGTTTAGCTCTCACACGACTGGTCGAAGCGCTAGGATTAGTTGAACAGCCTGAAGTAATCAGGACCACCACGATCACCAAAGATTGCCTAGCATAGAGGCTGGCCGACGACTGCCAGCGAAGGGTGCAGGGCTTACTGTTGATGATTTCAATCCTGCATTACCTTGAGGCCCTCAACTATGGGAATTATGGTATATTTCTTACTATGGGTAATGCAGGGTTTATGCCATCAACCGTAGGATTTTTGCGATTTAGGGTGTCCACACTCACCCCAAAAGCGAGCAGTACTGATGATCAGTTCACGACGGTCAACAGGACTACAGTGATAGCCGTAGCAGTCGTCGTTGCCACTATGACTAAAGCTCTAGACCCTAAGCTTTTTGTAGGCCTTGTCGCCTAAGCCCGATAATTATCCTAGACTTGTAGCCGAAGCCCGATAAGTATCTCAGACCGCAATCATGCGCAAACGTTCAGTAAATCCTAGAACCTAAACCCCAAACCCTAGAACCTAAACGGAAAAAATTGAACATAAGCAAACAGTGGATCGGACGAGTTCTTGACACAGTACGGCTACCAGTAATGCACACACAACAGTGCCAATGACTTCCTTCAGCATCATCCCCGTGTAGGGTTTGGGTTTAAGGGGTCCTGAACCCTAATTCCCAAGAACCCCTGGGGACCCTCCCGACACGGACCAGGCGTGCTCTAGACGGCAAGAATGGCGTAGCTTCCGAGATGCTGTCGAAGTATCTTGATGCCGAGTTGAGAAATTAGAGTTAGTGACCTTTATCCCTAAACCCGACACCCATCTGTATATCTGCAAGGCAGGGTAGGCTCAAAGTCTAATGCATGGCATGAAGGGGGAATCAGGAGTCAAGGGGTGTAGGTTTCAGGGTTTCGGGTCGAAAGTATACCTGATGTCTTTTGGGCTTCAAGGTTTAAAGCAAACCTCAAGAAAACCCCAAAACCCCAAGGAATAGAAGCTTCGGTCGGTTTTCGGATCGACTGTCGGCCTTGGGTTTGAGAAGGTAAGCAAAGATCTGCGGGCTACGCGGAGGGCAGGTGAATAAGGCGAGGGTTTCGCTTACGTAGTGTCTTAGAAGTTTAATCAGGATAGGGCTTAGCATAAAGGTTGAGCTTTTTTGTCTACTTGTTGAGGGAGCACGGCATTGGGATATGGGGTTTAGGGCTTGCAGTGTGGCCCAAAAACCCTGAAACTCCAAACCCTTAAGGGTTAAGCTCATCTTGAAAACCGCAGTTGAGAGTCATGGTGGAGGCTCAGAACTTCCGACAACCCTGACCTAGCGACTCCGTAAATAGATGCATCATGTATAGCAAATACGCAGAGTCTATTTCTATCTCCTTCTCTATACAAATGCAGACATCTATATGTGTATAGGTATATAGACATATATATATATATATATATATATATATATATTCATACATACATACATACATACATACATACATACATACATACATACATACATACATACATACATACATACATACATATATATATATATGTATATTTTTATATGTATATAGAGAGAGAGATTGAGAGAG